CTTCGTTTGGGAATCGTAGAACTTGATGGTAGGTTGACGCTACCGATCGCATGGCATACAGCCATGTCCTTCCCAAGATTATGTTGTAAGTGGAAGGGACTTTCAATACCCAGAATTCCACCTGTTTCGTCATGCTTCCTGCTCTGACTGGGAGGATTATCTTGCCAACTAGCCACTCTGGCATTGAGTTGAATCCGATCAGGGGGGATACGGCGGGTGCCAAGTCTTTATCCTCCAGTTTCAATTTTTTAAAGGTTTCGTAATACATTATCTCACATGAGCTCCCTTGGTCAATCAAAATCTGTTTGACGTCGAAATCCTTGACGCGGAGAGTGATAACTAGTGCATCGTTGTGAGGGTAATATATCCTTGCCAAGTCTCTTTCTGAAAAAGATATGACATTCATGGCCTCTGTTCTCCCCTTTTTGATGGCAGGTTGTGCACTTAATACCTCCATTAAGTTCTCAGCCTGTTTGATCATGCCCCTGAGCTTACATACCCGCTCAGGTTTGAATACCCCATGTATTACATTAATTACGCCTTGAGGTGGAGCGCCGACCGGCATCCCGTTTGGGACGTTGTGGTTCTGGAGGGCTGGCTGTGTTTCTCCTTCTATGTACTGGTCCAAGTCCCCAGCCGCCACTAACTCCTCCAAATGCTGTCTCAATGGCGTGCAATTTTTAGTGCGGTGCCCTTTTTCATCATGGAAGGTGCACCGGGACCTTTCGTCGTAGTCTTTTTGGGCTTCTCCCAATTTGGCTGGCCATCGGACGAAAGGTTCATCACGTATTTCGCTGAGAATTCGGTAGATTGGTTTTTTGAATACTGTGGTAATGACGGTGCAAACTCTTAACCACCTTTTGTCTGGGTCCTCTTTGTTGGCCCGCTTGCCTTGCCCATTCCTGCCGGGGCGTTCTACCGTATTGACTTTTGCTGTAGTCTTTTATCTGGCATTGCTGCTATGCCAGATTTTGTTTTACTACGGGCGTCATCCTCCTCTACGCGAATATGTTGGTGCACTCACTCCATTTAGGCCTTGTGAGGGGTGGCGCCATAGTAATTGAATCCCTCAACTTGTTTCCGACTGGTAGCCCTCTTTTGTACTGCGCGATGGCAAGATTGGTGGGGTAATCTCCTATCTGGTTGAAGGTCTCCCAGTAACGACTATTGTAGGATCTCAACGTCTTCTTGTCGCCCATGTCAATGGAGAGTAGCAGATCGATCTTCACTGGTGTTTTGGTGTTCGTTCTGAACTTAGTCACGAACGCCTCCGCCAATTGCGCCTAGGAGGCGATGCTGCTTTCTGGTAACCTTTCGAACCAGGTTAAGCCTACGTCGCCAAGGCTAGATGGGAATAGGATGCACATCAAGGCCTCGTTCCGGCGGTATACTGCCATAACCTGGCGAAAGTGGCTTAGATGTATGTAGGGGTCCGTCTTTCCCTCGTAAGTCGTAAACTTGGACTGAAGGAAGTCTGAAGGTAATGACGCATTCTTAATTGCCGGAACGAACGACGAGCTATGTAACCTTGCTAATGCATTGTCCGTTGGTTCATAAGCAAGGCGCGGTATTGGCATTCCTACCTCGACGCTCCCATGCATCTGAGGGGCCAACCGCTGAAGGGCTGAGAATCTGTGCTAGTCGCGTGCCCTAATATCTTCCTTCCATCGTGCCCTTTCTTCAAGCACAGTTCGCAAGTCTGATGTTCTGGGAAATTCCGTGTGCCTAGATGACGTCTGGTGCGTGTGCGAGGGCCGATAAGTGCTTCCCTCAGTATATGACCTCTCAGTTCTCGTTCTCTCAGACCTAGAGTAACGAGTCCTGTAAGTCCTCGATCGAGTGTCACCTGTTCTCAGGTTTCTACTCTCTCCTTGCGATGGTGTGGTATGCCTACCACGATCTTCTAAGTGGCGAGGGGGCGTGTTGCTTTTGCGCCCCTCTCCTGTCGCTACCCCTTTTCCTTTTATCTGGCGTTTCATTGATTCCATGTCCACCACCATCCTTCGTATCAACTCGTCCTGCTCCTTTACGCGATCTTCCAGAACTTGAGGGTCTATCCTCCGCCTTTGTCTTTCAGGACTTTGAGAGCGACGGGGGCTGTTAGCCCACCTTCCCCTTCCATCCCTCTGGGGGTTCTGTCGCTGGGGTTCTAAATCCGCCATGAGAGGGATAGAAGGCAAACCTTCGCGCCACTCACCCTCCTCTGGGGTTTCTCCGTCGATAGCGGATTGCGGCAAATCTTCATTGTGCGCCATTGTTTCTAATTAGAGAGGAAAGACTTAATCAAGAGGTTTTGTTCTTTCTGGAATTCCCACAGACGGCACCAATTGTACGAGCACGAAATAATTCTTCTCGTATGATCCTGTTGATCAAGTTTGCGCTCCTCCAAACGTCGTCGCATTACCACCTGAAAACACAAACGTGAGCTAACCGGCGGGTGTGTACCGAAAACCCCTCCGATGCCTAAGTCAGCACAATAGACAATAGTCACAAAAGCTCTGTGAATTCAGGAATCAAAGTTGTGTTACCTCTCCATAGGTGATGTTATGAGCTTATATAGGTTCCGTGTGGCAAAATCCTAGTAGAACTCTTATTCCTTCATGTAGAGTCCTCCTAGGAATCACATTCTTAAAAGATAATGCTTATCTCTTAACACCCCCCTCACTACTTAAACCAAGTGAGATGGTTTTACCTCGGTGGTATGACAAAACCACCGAGCTAACATGGCCATGTTAAACTAGCAAATATGACCGAGCTCAAACTAGCTTGGTTCTTCCCTTCATAGCTTGTACCCTGGTTTCACCTGTTGAGACCGAGCTAACCATAGCAAGCTTGGGTCGAGGTAACCTAGAGCAAGGTCTTGAGGGAAGCTCAAACCATTTCTGCCCAAAATGGTATGACCGAGCCAATTGTTACCACTCTGACCGTGGTGACCGAGCTAACTTCAAGGCTTTTCTTAGACCGAGCTAACTACAAGGCCCTTTTACTCAGCCCTTTCTTACTACGGCCCACAGAACGGCCCATTACCCAGCTCGGCCCAATTTACTTATAAATTACCCTCTCATAACTCAACGGAAAACTAAATTGGGATGGTATTGGGTTTTCGATCTCTTGAGTAATGAAAAGATGAAAATGTGTGATGTATGGATTGTTGGGATGCGTTCCCTATTTGGAAGTTAAAGTCTCGCGCAAGTGGTTTTTGGAACGCTTGAACGGAGCGGTTGTATTCAGACCCTAAGTGGTTTGGTGTGAGGAGGAATTCGGGCAAGGCCCTATTTTACCGTCTCTTTCGAGGCCCTGCGGTTGGCTCTACGCGGTATATAACCGTTGGTAGGCATCCGAGGTTAGTTCTGCAACAAAGCAGCAAAAAAGGGGGCATACCGAATAATCCGCGTCCGATTCTTGTGGTTGGGAGGACGAAATCTCTTTGGGGGATTTCTAGTTTACTAACATCTAACTTGTAACCCTTTATTTATTTATTTGAGTATCATGCTTTACTACTTGATGTTATATTTATGATTGTATATTGGACAGGAAAAGGGACGAGGTGTGTGTGTGTGTTTACTGGGCATTCAAAGCTCACGGCGTATCATGCCAGGTAACGAAGAGAAACTTATAGCTGGAGACGAGGAGCCTGAAACCTTTGAAGACTTTTGGCTATCTTAGGAAAGTTAGAAATTTCCTTTTGATATTTGTAAGACTCATGTGAAGATCTAAACTTTCTTTTGGGATGTAATGTAATGGAATAAGCTTTTGAATTAAGGATATTTGTGGTTATTATGTGTTTATATTCTACGTATATGTATGAACCTTATCGTTGCTTACGAGACCTTGTGTCAATATCTTTTAAGATCTGTCAAAAGGGTAGTGCGCTGCCTAAGAAAGCTGGACTTAGAAAGGAGGCTAATTTGACTCTTCCGGCGATCTGGGATCTTACTTGGTTATTGACCATAGGACTCATTAGTGACTCTCCCTTGACTGCAACCAATAGTGTAGAATCGGGGCGTCACAACTTCGTATCAGAGCCTAGGTTCAACCCTTAACCCGCGCAACCTAATATGCGACTCTAGAAGCCCTTACCCCGTTATCTTATTTTATTCTATCACGCTATTATATTTAAAGAAGACTAACAAATAAAAAAAATCTTTTCCACCTTAGGATGTCAGTAGGAGACTATCCAGGACGCGGCGTCAGTCTCGACTCGTGGGGTACTTTCCATATGCAAAGAAGGAGGGCCATGTTTGTCAGCCCCTACTTTAGCCGCCGATGCTGTGTGAGTGCCGCCGAGGAAATGATCAAAACAGAGATACATAAGGTTGAAACGGAGTACTCCCACTATACGAGGGAGCAGAAGAGATCCCTGGTGCGGTGTTGCCTACAATTTTTAAGTCGGGCAGCAGGGAAGGCAATCCGAATGGAACAAGATGATCAGAGAATGGACTCTTTGATACACCGAGCTTTGACCACCGGAGCATACCACCGACCACCGACTCTGGCTGAAAGTTACGCATCTTGTTATCAGGGGCCAGGCAACAATCAATCAATGGATATGGAGCAGCCACCCGAACAGCAAGGAGCAACCCAAGACTACCCTATAGAGGTGTCATCTGAACACAATCCCTCCTCACTAATGTACACCCCCCGCTTTCCGGACCAAGCAACTAACTCTGCTGATGAAGACCCAAAAGAAGACCTTGATTAGTCGGGAAACGAGAACTAATTCGAGGGATAGTAAAACTAGACTTTTGTAAGATTCGCTGATGGGGATCCTTAGAATAAGATAGCCTGAACCTTGTAATGCCTAGATGCCCTTTGAATGTAACTCCGATTTAGGAGCCCTTTTGTAATGATGCCTATTATAATATATGAATGATGTGTTGATCTATGTTGTTGACTGTTACTTGCTTTAGTACACCCTAAGAAAACTGAACCTTTATTTTAAATCTAAGTAGGAAGATTTTTTAGGACTGGAAACCAACTCACCACGTGCCATGAACAGAATGGTGGACACGCGAGCTAATGGCTATACTGAAACCAACAATAATGCACGGAACCGCCCCAGAAACCAACATGGACCCGTACCCGCAGGGGCTGATATCCCCAATAACCTAGGTCATCAAATTTTGGAAGAATTAGGGCAAGTAAGGAACAATTGGCAGAATGAGAGGACTCGACTCTTTTCTGAGTTTCGAAAACAGAGGCCCCCAAAGTTCACGGGTGTACCGGACCCAAAGGTAGCTGAAAATTGGCTTTGGCAGATAGAGAAAATAGTAGACACCATGGGCATAACCGAGGCCGCTGATAGAATAGCTTTGGCAGTATTCGAGCTTAATGATGAGGCTGACCACTGGTGGGAGTTAATCAAGAATACTCATGACGTAGCGAGCCTATCATGGAACCAGTTCAGGGAACTATTCCTAAACAAATATTTTCCCAGTACGATTCGCCGAGAGCGAGTCATGGAATTCCAAAACCTGGAACAAGGAAATATGACCGTGACCCAGTATGCTACAAAATTTGAAGAGTTAGCTCATTATGTAACTAGATACGTAGCGAATGATGAAGAGAAAGCAAGGATGTTCAAATGGGGATTGGACCTTACAATCAGGGGAAGAGTTCTTCCACAACGACTCCCCTCATATGCCGAGGTGCTGAAAACGGCATTAGAATCTGAAAGGGAAGTAACCGACGCTAGAAAGGCTTGGAACAAGAGGAGAGGGAGTCAGACGTCTGTTGGACCTCAGAGGAATCAGAAAGGAAACATGACCTCGAAGCCCTACTCCAGACCACAACCACAACAGCAACGACAGCAACCGCAGTAACAGATCCAGAGAGGAGACTATCAACAAAGGCCGACGGGACAAATCCAGTGCTTTCATTGCCAACAATTAGGGCACAAAAAGAGCGAATGCCCTCAACTCCCTTCATCTAGATACCAAGGAGGAGGTTTCGGAGCAAATGCCCAGGCATTAGGTGGGCAGAAGCCTTGGACAAATAAGATAGGATCTATCGGGCAGTAGCACCAGAAAAGTGGTGGAACTCAGAACGCCAAGACTAGTGGTAACCAGAAGGCCACCGGAAGAATCTTTGCCTTGCAAGAGGAAGAAGCGGACCCATCTGTAATTGAGGGTAATTTAGTACTATACAATTCTTGGGTGCATGTTCTATTTGATACTGGTGCATCACATTCTTTTATATCCTCTGCTTGTGCTAAGTCATTAGAACTTGCATGTGAACCTTTAAAAACTGCCTTAAGTGTAATGTCACCTATGGGAGAATGCGTTCGGGTAGGATTGATCTGTAAGGACTGTAAGATAGGAATGTCAGACCTACGCTTAACTTGCAGCCTTCGTGTCATGGAAATGTCGGACTTCGATATCATTTTGGGCATGGACTTGTTGTCTGTCTACCGAGCGATGATCGACTGTCGTCAGAGAAAAGTAATAGCTCAAACACATGACGGGACAGGTTTCCTGTTTAAGGGGGATAGACAAGACCCCATGGCTTCAACGAAACATCGAACGCAGTGGCACGATCAACTTGCAGGTAGGATAGCAAGTCTGAATCTAAATGAGGAGGGCCAAGTAGAAATAGAACTTCCACGCGTAGTATGCGAATATGCAGATGTATTTCCTACGGAATTACCGGGATTGCCACCAACCCGGGAAGTAGACTTTAGTATTGAGCTACAACCTGGAACTACCCCAAATATCCATGGCCCCGTATCGCATGCACCAGCAGAACTACGAGAATTGAAGACACAACTACAGAAATTGCTAGAGAGAGGATTCATTAGGCCAAGTACTTCGCCATGGGGAGCACGCGTGTTGTTTGCTAAAAAGAAGGATGGGTCGTTGAGGCTATGCATCGATTATCGTCAACTTAATCGAGTCGCGATAAAAAACCGATACCCACTCCCAAGGATTGATGACCTTTTTGACCAACTTAGAGGCTCAAAGTGCTATTCAAAGATCGATCTCAGGTCAGGTTACCATCAACTACGAGTCAAGGAGGAGGATATACCAAAAACTGCCTTTCGTACTAGATATGGCCATTATGAGTTTGTAGTAATGCCCTTCGGACTAACCAATGCACCGACAGTATTCATGAGCCTAATGAATAAGATCTTTAGACCATATCTTGACCAGTTTGTAGTAGTGTTCATTGATGACATCTTGGTATATTCAAGGTCTGAAGAAGAGCATGGGCAACATTTAAGGATTGTCCTTAAAGTTCTTAGGGATAATCGGTTATATGCTAAGGCAAGTAAGTGTGAGTTTTGGTTGAATGAAGTGAAATTCTTAGGGCATGTGGTATTAGAGAATGGGATTGCGGTGGACCCAACCAAGGTGGAGGAAGTATTAGATTGGAGACAACTGAAAACCGTGTCAGAAATCCACAGTTTCTTAGGATTGGCTGGTTATTACCAGAGGTTCATCCAAGATTTCTCCAAACTAGCTAAACCAATGACTCGTTTGACACAAAAAGGAGTAAAGTATGAGTGGGACAAAGCTTGCAAAAAATCCTTCCAAGAGCTAAAGAAGAGGTTAACTAATGCGCCAATTTTGACCATCCCAGAACGAGAAGAGGGGTACACTGTGTATTGCGATGCATCTAAAGAAAGGTTAGGTTGCGTGCTCATGCAAAACTGAAAGGTAGTCGCATATGGATCCAGGCAATTGAAACCTCATGAGCGCAACTACCCCACACATGACTTGGAGTTAGCAACCATAGTTTTTGCCTTAAAGCAATGACGACATTACCTGTATGGGGAACAATTTGAGATATTCACAGATCACAAGAGTCAGAAGTATCTATTTACACAGAAGGACCTTAACTTGAGACAGAGACGATGGATGGAGTATCTTGAGGATTTCCAGTTCACTCTCTTATATCACCCCGGTAAAGCCAATGTAGTAGCAGATGCTCTAAGTCGCAAGAGCAGAGGGATGATGGCTAAGATCTCCGTCAAGGAATGGGATATGGTTAAGACACTCAATGAATTCAGGATCCAAGTAGAATCTCAAGATACAAAAGCATATCTTAGTGCACAAAAGGTGATGCCTAAGTTGATGAATGAGATCATGGAGGCCCTGAAGCACAATCAAGAGGTAGCCTATATCAAGGAACGTCTGGAAGCAGGAGAACCAATGCTTGATTGGGTAATTCACCCCAATGGGAGTTTAAGATACCAAAGTAGATTGTTTGTACCAAGTGACGAGGTACTTAGAGAAAAGGTACTTAAGGAATGTTATCATTCTGTATTTGCAGTACATCCAGGAGGGACTAAAATGTACCAAGATTTGAAGAGGCAGTATTGGTGTAATGGAATGAAGAAGGAAGTGGCTAAATTTGTAGCAAAATGTCTGACATGCCAACAAGTGAAGGCGGAACATTAGAAACCAGGGGGAGTGTTGCAACCTTTACCAATAGCCGAATGGAAGTGGGAGTATTTGACGATGGATTTTGTGACAAGGTTTCCTAAGTCACCTACAGGGCGTGATGCAATATAGGTAATAGTGGATCGCCTCACCAAGTCAGCACATTTCTTACCCTATAAGATGACCGACATTTCAGAGTCTATGTGCAGGCTCTACATTGGGGAGATCATTCGACTACATGGAATTTCGATATCTATTGTGTCAGATCGTGATCCACGGTTCACCTCTCGATTTTGGGGAAGCCTGCAGGAAGCTCTTGGTACTGAGTTATGTTTTAGCACCGCCTTTCACCCGCAAACAGATGGACAATCTGAACGCACCATCCAGACACTTGAAGATATGTTGAGAACCTGCGCAATGGATTTTCAAGGAAGTTGGGAACTACACCTACCTCTAATTGAATTCGTCTACAACAACAGCTTTCAAGCTAGCATCGGTATGGCGCCTTTTGAAGCATTATACGAAGGACCTTGTAGATCGCCGATTTGTTGGACGGAAGTGGGTGATGCAAATCTAATAGGACCCGAACTTGTTCTAGAAACTATTGAGAAAGTCAAATTGATCCGACAACAGTTAAAGACTGCTCAAGACCGTCAAAAGAATTATGCAGATAGGAGGAAAAGACCATTGATGTTTGAAGTAGGCAGCCACGTGTTCCTAAAGGTGCAACCTAGGCATGGAGTCGTGCATTTTGGGAGAAAGGGGAAGCTGTCATTATGATATATTGGGCCTTTTGAGGTATTGGAAAAGGTATTGGAGAGAGTGGGCAAAGTAGCATATAGACTAGCTCTACCCCGCAGTTAGCAGGGATACACAACGTCTTCTATGTATCTACGTTGAGAAAATACATCGCCGACCCATCACACATCCTCAAATGGGAAGAAATCAGTCTTGACAAAGATGTTACATTTAAAGAAGGACCAGTAGCGATACAAGATAGTCGAGAGAAGAACCTTAGAGGCAAAACGGTTCACTTGGTAATATGGCGTCATCGGGAAATTGAAGAATCTACTTGGGAATGCCAGGATTGGGTGAAGGCAAACTACCCCGAACTTTTCGAAGGTAATATGTAGCTGAATTTCGGGAACAAAATTGTTTTAAGGGGGATAGGTTGTGAAGCCCCTGAAAAATGTATTCACTTTAAAGACCCTAATGTTTGAATTATTTTCTTAAAGCCCCTCAGTTCCTGGAATTATTTCGAATCTTGTTGGTTAGCACTTTTATTTTTACTTTTATCGAAACAGGAATATCCTAGCCAGATTAGGTTCCATAGCCTAATTTAGTTTAATTCTACATAAGTAAGGTCCCAATACATGAATTTCATTCCAAACCCTCACTCTGTATTTAAATTCAAAATTTACCTAAAAAACTAGTATATGTACCCTTATGCTATAAGTACCATCAATCAATTAAAATCTATCTATCTATATATATATATATAAATTGGGGAATGTGTCCCTAGTACCTAAATTGATTAAAAATATAGCCCCATCACCCTTCCCAATGGCCGGCCACCCTAGGGAGAAGTGAAAAGCCAATTTCTAAGATTTATGATCATGGTATTCTAGAAAACCCAAAACCTAGCACCCTAGACCTAGGATGTTGTTTCCAATACTAGTTTCATTTCAACTAGGAATCAACTAGATGTTGCCTAATTCTATGATTAAGCTCCCTAATCACTCCTATCCCATTAGACTCCAAGCAAATCCTAACCTTTCCATCCATTTCCAACTAGTGGGCTTTTATGACCTTTTACACCAAAATTTGCCTATAAATACCACCATCCCCTAGCTTGGCAAGCACAACAACACACTCACACACACACATTCGGCTAGAAGAGAGGAAGGAGAGCAAGAAAGGAGTCTTGAGAGGAAGGAGAGTAAGAGAGAAGCCTTGGGAGGGAGAGGAAGAAAGAAGAGAGCCATCTTGTTCAAAGCTTAGCAAGTAAGCCACAACACAACCTTCTCTTTTATTTTCCTTTTTCAAATACATGTTCTTAAGGGTTCTAAATAATGTTTTCAGATGTGTTATTGATGAGTTACTTGTATTAAAAATGCTAAGAGTTGAGCATTGATTCTACCTCTCTTGTATCTTCCCCCCTTTCGGCACAAAACCATCTTTTTTCATACCAATCTCTCAAACTTTCCAAAGGTACGCTTTCAAGCAAATTTTTTGAGTTTAATATATATTAGTTAGCATGTTTTCATCACAAAAGAAACGAAAAATTTCCCTTAATGGACCCCTTTTCTCATAAATCTTCATGTTTTGGGCATTGAACCTTAGAATCTGTTTTCGCAGCCCACTTTCAAAAATTCTAGAAAAATGTATAAAAATATTCTGGACCTCTATTTTATGTCAAAATCTTCCTTAAGGATTTAGCTTTCAACAAAAATTGGTTTCATAGAAAAAAAGTGAGCGGTTTGCAAGAAAATCAAATTTCGAAACGATTGACAAATCTGGCCAGCGCTGGAATGTTTTCTAAATAACTTAAAATCTCGAAAAGCTATCCCATTTCTGAAATATGTTCTAGAAACTAGATCAAATTCTCTACGAACCATAGGAAGGACGAGTCCGGTGAAAAACCTAAAATAGTCATTTGATTCTAATCCTTTTGTGATATTGAATCTGGAAAATTCTGTTGTGTTTGATGTCTTATGCCCTTGTGTTCATGAAAATGTTTATTAGCTTATGAACATATCTTGGCATGATATTATATGTGTTATGGTTATGTCTTTATCTTATTCATCTTAATGATGCATGCTTTTGTGGATATTATTATCTTGTTAAGTTGTCTAACCTTGATTTAAAACATTTAACTCAATGGAAAACTAAATTGGGATGGCATTAGGTTTTCGATCTCTTGAGTAATGAAAAGATGATAATGTGTGATGTATGAATTGTTGGGATGCGTTCCCTATTTGGAAGTTAAAGTCTCGCGCAAGTGGTTTTCGGAACCCTTGAACAGAGCGGTTGTATTCGGACCCTAGGTGGTTTGGTATGAGGAGGAATTCGGGCAAGGCCCTATTTTACCATCTCTTTTGAGGCCTTGCGGTTGGCGCTATGCGGTATATAACCATTGATGTTATATTTATGATTGTGTATTGGACGGGAAAAAGGGACGAGGTGTGTGTGTGTGTTTACTGGGCATTCAAAGTTCACGGCGTATCATGCCAGGTAACGAAGAGGAACTTATAGCTGGAGACAGCGAGCCTGAAACCTTCGAAGACTTTTGGCTATCTTAGGAAAGTTAGAAATTTTCTTTTGATATTTTGTAAGACTCATGTAAAGATCTAAACTTTCTTTTGGGATGTAATGTAATGGAACAAGCTTTTGAATTAAGGATATTTGTAGTTGTTATGTATTTATATTCTACGTATATGTATGAACCTTATCGTTGCTTACATGACCTTGTGTCAATATCTTTTAAGATCTGTCAAAAGGGTAGTGCGCTGCTTAAGAAAGCTGGACTTAGAAGGGAGGCTAATTTGACTCTTCCAGCGATCTGGGATCTTACTTGGTTATTGACCATAGGACTCATTAATGACTCTCCCTTGACTGCAACCAATAGTGTAGAATCGGGGCGTCACATTAGTACTACCAAATGATGCAGTCTGTATACAACACAGTAGCCCCTACATCCCTTCCTAAGCAATTTCACAGCTTTCATGGCCGAAATCAAGTGTGGGAGAGGAACTACCCCATTTCCAGTAAAAATAAATTCAGGTATACCAGGTGGTCTAAACACAACAGATTTACTTGCATAGTCAATGGTGGCACAGTATTTAGTCAACCAGTCCATACCGAGAATACAATCAAAATGATCAATGTTCAAAGGCAACAAGTCAACATACAATGTCATATCACCAATCATAATATCACATGCCGGATAAACATAAGCACACATCATAGAATCCCCAGACGGTGTAGATACAGACAATACATATGTCACAGGTTCTAGTAGTCTAGTTAATTTCCGGGAGAAAACATACGATACGAAAGAATGCGTAGAACCAAAATCTATCAGTACACATGCATTTTGAGAACATATAGGGAGTATACCTGACACCACAGCTTCGGTGTTCTGTACGTCACCAGGTACTATGGCAAACACTCGACCTTATCTCAGAGGTTCTTTCCCAGTATTAGCTCTTGCATTTGTTTTCGCTATAGAAGCAGATCCGGCTGAACTCGCCGTAGGGCAGTTGGCATTATCAGACCCAAGCGGGTAATATTTCACCACGTGACCCGTCTTGCCACATCAGAAACAAGCACCGGATGCTCGGTAACACACACCCTTATCCCTCATTCCACAATCAGGGCAAACTGGAATAAATCCATTGCTCCGACTTAAGCTGCTTGTAGACCCCGTGTTCTGCTTTTTATTTACATGAGAACGACCTTTTCTGAAACTATACCCAGACCTTTTTCCTCTCCATTTTGTTGTTGTTATTGTTGGGGCCTTACTTTGTCTCATAGCGACTAGGGTAGCTTCCGCCATTAAGGATCTGTCAAGGACTTGTATGTATGTTGGCAACTTCAATACGCCTACTCGATCAAATATGTCTAAGTTTAATCCTCCTTCAAATTTGCGGGCTTTCTTATACTCCATGTCCACCATGTGAAGAGTAAATCTGGCCAATTCAATGAACTTAGCTTCGTACTCAGCTACGGACATTCTGCCTTGCTTGAGTTCTTGGAATTCAGACATTTTTCGATCCTGAAAACAATGAGGAAAATACTTTTCATAAAAGATCTCATTAAAGCGAGCCCATGTCATGTTCCCATTGGTATTCCGAATCAGTAACCACCATCTTTGAGCTTCGTTTTTGAGAGTATAGGTGGCTAATAAAACCTTCTGAGTCTCGGTACAGGGAAATACTTCAAATAGTTTTTCCATCTCAAGTAACCATGTCTCCGCTTTCAACGGTTCAATTCCACCCAAGAATGTTGGCGATTTCATCTTCATGAATTTCTGTGTCAGGTTGATAATGTCATTATTATCAGGTTCAACTTGTACCGGCAGAGGTGGATGGGGGAAAAGTCGTTGTCTCTGCTGTGTTATAGCTTCGATCAATGCTGCAAGCATCTGTTCCATTCGGCTCATACGAGCCTCTGAGGATTCACTTGTATCATTTCCCTTTGCATTCTCCATGTTGCTATAAAGACACCAAATAATAATAAACATAGGAATAATCTCATTCATTTTTTTCAAATTTATTTACCCAGATTCAAATTCAGTTTTCATATTTATATAGATTACCACACACTCACACATACAGATGGAATGCCCCTATAACTTTCTAGGACATCCGAAGCTCATATGGACTTGTGTGTGCAGTAAAACACGTGCTCTGATACCACTTTGTCACGACCGAAACCTGTCCCTATAGGTTCAGCATCGTAACCAGTAATCCTTGGATTACCAAAGGTCTCAGAACAAAATAACGCATAATCAAGGGGCTGTGGAAGCAAATATACAAAATACCACGTCCATTGAGCTGTGTAGACATACATGAGACAAGATAATTTTAAACTTAATAGGCATACTCATGGCATCACATAGGTACAGTAATTACATGTCACCCCATATACAAATAACCAAAAGCAAACTGTTCAATAACAAAAGAAAACAAAGTATTGAACGTTCAAAAGACATGGCTACACAACTTGACTTGGTCCGGAACCTCCTTGAAAGGCGCAATGGGTGGCTGACAAAACAAAATCCTAGGCCATCAACTTTGGCCCTAATTACGTGCCTGGTCACCTACATACATAATATAAATAGTGAGCGGAAGCCCAGTGAATAACAACAGAGTAAAGGGTTTTAATGAATGAGGTCCATACCAGATTCAAAAATCATAATTCAGATTCAGATTCATATTCATATTCTTGTTCAAATCATATACAGAAATCAGAGTTTATGCTTAATCATACGTGGTACATCCATTAGGGCTAACAAAATAGAAACAGAACAGATGCAGAACATATGGTGGTTATGAATAACCACTTTCATAAAGGAACCTCCGGATCCTAGTAACAGAGAATAAACATGCTGAGCCCCATGATGGAACCTCCGGTACGGGTAACAAATTGCAGACATAGTAAGTTCCATGATGGAACCTCCGATATCGGCTAACGGCTAACTGATATCACATGATGTTAAGGATGCCACGAATACATTATTAGAAATTGGACAATCATTCATTGTACAGAACATACGTTTCAGAAAATAGATCTTAATTCATCATACAAAAATAAATAAAGCTGAATATAACCTTACTAAGTTACTACTTACAATTGGCTTCGGGTGTAGACAGACTGAGCAGACTAATCAAACGGTTATGGCACGTGACCTACATTAACACATAATAAATACACATTTGAAACACACGTTGGAATATATCTAACTCATTATGTTTTATCCATAGTGTGCTTTTTTACATTTTACCCTCATTATTATGCCTTAATCTGAGCCTAGAAATGCCCAGGATGAAATGAGGATGCAAAAATGCATTTGAAAACACTTGATCAAATTTCTGAAAACAGGGTCCCCACTCGACCGGACATGCAACGTATGAGGGGATGCTCGAGCGCAACCTCCTACGCTCGAGCGTTCTGCAAAATTTGAAAAAGTATTGGTTATGTGATTTTCACGCTCGACAAACGCTCGATGGTTGCTCGAGCGTGAGACTCATGCCTCCGCTCGAGCGGTCTGCAAAAACATGAAACTTCTGAGAGCATGCATTGCATGCTCGAGCAAACTTTAGGTCGCTCATGCTCGAGCGGAGAGCAAAATTCTGGAATTTCCAGATTGCTCTTCTTTGCTCAAAATTCGAATTCTACACCTCAAAACTCATTTTCTTGGACCAAAATTCTGGAAAACATGTAAGAACTTGTAGAATATTATGATTTGAAGATCATTTCAAGAAATCATGGCCCAAAAGTATATCAAACATGCAAAAATTCAACTTGAAATGTAAGAACATGATATGAACTTGTCACGCATAAATTCACTTGAGTTCCTAGCTTCCAAAACATGATCAAATGAGATGAATTGATGGAAAACGATATGAATTCTCAAAGCTAAGGTATAATGATAACATGCATGGGAGAATTCTTTGAAAACTTCCCCAAGATGCCATGATATAAACATGCATGCATGGAGTGATCTAAACTCCTTCATTTTAGTTCCATTCTAGCATTACCTAACTTAATTCTTTAAACCCATGTGCTAAGTGACTCAATCTCATATTGGAAGGTTGAATTTCTTACCTTAGATGATCAACTATGCTCTATAAGGGTAATTGTTGAAGTTTCAAGCCAATCTCCAAGTTTTCTAGTAATTCCTTTACTTGAATTCAACCCTTTCTTAGTCTCTCTCTCTCTCTCCACGTTTTAAGCTCAGGGAAGAGGAAATGAGAGTGCAAAAGTGTAATAGAGGTGTTGAGGTGTCCTTATATAGGCTTGGCTAATGGCCTAACTAATTTGTTGATTAAATAATCAATTGGGTACTAACTATTCTAATTTAATCGTTCCGAATCAGATTTTAATTAAACCTATCATAAAATTCTAAAAATTCTAATTAACACATAAATCAAGTCAATTTCTGAATTGAATGCCGATAAGGCCTTCAACTCGCAAATCAAAACAGAAACATGAAAAGATTTTCCCATGTTAAACAGATATAAACACAAATAATGCAATACATATGTAATTAATTCAGAATTTGATCTTAATAACCTATTAGACATATGAAATTATGAATTAACGTTAATCGTGGGTTGAGGTTGTTACTGTTAGGATTTTGGGCTAAGAGAAATACACTACAACAAAATGCACTTTTGGCGACTAAAAAAAAATTAGTCGCCAAAAGTTGTGGAATTGGCGACCAAAAATAATATTAGTCGGCAAAAGTCAAATATTTAGCTACTAATTTTTTTTTAGTCGGGGAATATTAATTATTGCTGACTAAAAAAAATTTAGTCGCTTAAAATATCACAATTGGCGACTAAAAATTTTTTTAGTAGCCATACAGCTAGTTTGGCTACTAAAATTGTTTAGTAGCCGAATGAAAAGAAAAAAATATATTTTTTATATTCGGCGACCAAAATTTTGATTGCCAAAAGTATATTTTAAGCGACAAAAGAATATTTTAGTAGTCATATAGTTAGTTTTAGCTACTAAAATTGTTTAGTAGCCGAATGAAACAAAATAAATTATTTTTTATTTTTTGGTCGCCAAAAGTATATTTTCAGCGACAAAAGAATATTTTAGTAGCCGTATAGTTAGTTTTAGCTACTAAAATTGTTTAGTAGCCGAATAAAAAGAAAAAAAAATTAGTTTTTATCTTTGGCAACTGTAGACGTCCCCGAACGCCCCGGGAGGGTGAGTCCCATTCTGTTCGTATTAGGCTCACTATAGTTCAGGACCCTCGAATTGTCACGGTTCTTAATCTGAACCAAAGAGTCCAAATCCGGCAAATCGTTTTGGAAAATAGATTTGTAGAAAAGAAGTGCCAAACATGGACTGCTTTGCCAGATACAGAGTCGCCACCTAAATATTTTATTTTGGGAAATTTAGGAAACCCTGACTTGGTGCCAAAGGCCACGTGTCCGTCATCACCAAAGTTGTCTCGGCTCGAGAACTTGGGTACAATTGGGGAAGGTCAGCTATGAGCACCCTCTCTCGCCCGATCCGAAGATCGGCCTCTACTAACCATGATATCTCGTTTTGAAAGCATTATGTGTTCTTATTCCGGTTATTAGCCTAGAATTACTATGTTATGCGCACATCAAACAAGTATAGACCAAATCGCCTAAATTGGAACAAAACATTGCATGTTTGTTTTGAAAATGGTTTGCTACTCGCAAGTAGGCTAAAATGCAGGTTTTGCCACCCTCAAGTGGGCTTTAGAAAAGATGGTTTCGCCACTATCTAGTCGGCTTAAAACTCACAGTTTTAATGCATTATTCCAATTTAGGTAATTCAACCTCCACCCACAGGCATTCAAGCAGTTATATCATATAAGCAAGTAACCTCATGGTAAGCATGCTGTCATGGCAACACTCACACGCATGCAAGGATACTAAAACATAAATGTTTACCGAGTACTCCAAGCCAAAACAAAAATTAGTTAGTAATCATATGCATGATCCTAGTTCATGTTAAGATGGCTAATGCAACACATGCAAGATGCAGCTACAATAGGCTCGACTAATCTATGTATGGCATATGATGATGCTACAACTAACACGTATTCAACTTGGAATTGAAATACAATGCAGCTAGTATGATGCGCCAAGCCCGGTGCATGCAAGACAAATGAATAATGCACGCATGCATGGCATGAGGTATGCTAAATTAAATATGTCCTAATACTAACCATCAAAGCAAGTAAGTAAAAGGGAGAAAGAAGTGGGGGTTGGAAAACATGCACACACGCACCCACACTTATTACAAATTTGCCCTCGCTCGGAGGGACCAAAAGAATAATACAATTAACTAACCTACAAGCTAATTAATTATTACAGACAAATTAAACTAGTTAAGCAAATTAACTAATCTAAGAAAGCAGTAAACAGCCTCGGGAAGAGGGCCCAATGCAATGCGTGTTCGGGTTTGCTCGGAAATCTAACGCCATGCACAAGTTTGCCTCTGTTTTCCCTGCTCTGCTCCTCTGAAAATTGCACAAGTCCCAAGGAGCACTCTATGGACATTGTGGAACACCACCGGCTAAGACAGAACACCACCGGCCATGTCCGGATGGTCATCGACCATCTGTCAAGCCATCGGCCAACCATGGATGGCCGGTCGGCAGTATAGATGGCCGACCGGCCAAATCTTCATGCAGAACCTGTTTTGACAGCAGCAGAGGGCAAAACATGGCATGACAATGCATTTCAAGCAAATGTATGCACCACCACATCCTTTATCATGTTTGTGACTCAAAGGGGTATGGTGCTCGATTCTCGGACCACCAATCGCGCATTTCAATGCGTGATGGCCCAAAAGCCAAGTGTGCAACTTCATTATCAAATGAAATGCACACACAAACCACATCAAAGGCCCTAACCTCTATCATGCTTAATTAAGAGGCAAGGGATGCATGCACAATGCAATGCAACCTAAGCATGCAAGCAAGGCTAATGCAAC